CTACAGAGCCAGTTCTAGGACAGACAGGGCTACAAAGAGAACCCCTGTCTCAAAAGAAAAAAAGGCGGGGGGGGAGCGAGAGATACTGGAGACATGCTCTGGGCAGAGAACCCAGGTTTGGTTCCCAACATACACATCAGGAGCCTCACAACCAAATCCGATGCCATCTTCTGGTCTCTGAGGGCACCTGCAGACATACGGTAGGTACCCATAAACTCATACAAGCATACACACGCATATAGATGGTAGGTAGGATAGATAGATGATAGATAGATAGATAGATAGATAGATAGATAGATAGATAGATAGATAGATAGACAGATGAAAGATTGACAGATGATAGATAGGTAGATAGATTAATTGATTGATTGATAGATGATTAATAGATGATTGAAAGATAGATAATATATAAAAAGGTCTCCATTTATAAAGGTCATCTACAACTTAAAGAGGTTTCCATCTTAGAGTGATCTCCCCACTCCACAGAGAAAGATCCTCTACCTTACAGAGCTCTCTCCACTCTGTAGTGATCTCCCCTACTCTAGAGAGATCCTCTACCTTACAGAGGTCTCCCTGGTTTTGTTTTTCCAGTGGTGAGAATAGGATGCATGTGTCATACGTGCTAAGCAAGATCTCTACCACTGAGCCATACCCCAGCCCCTACATGAAGGAGATCCCTGCACATTAGGGCTCCTTCTCTGACTCTGGGTTGGGTACAAACCAAACCCAAACACCTGTTTTCACAGAGATCCTTTATTAAGCGGGGGGGGTGTTAAAGTGGCTGCTTTTTGACTCAGGCAGAAAACATCAGCAAATGACCTTGCAAGTGTGATTTTTTTAAAAGATTTATTTATTTATTACATATACAGTGTTCTGCCTACATGACAGAAGAGGACACCAGACTGAATTGCAGATGGTTGTGAGCCACCATATGGTTGCTGGGAATTGAACTCAGGACCCCTGGAAGAGCAGTCAGTGCTCTTAACCTCTGAGCCATCTCTCCAGCCCACAGGTGTGATTTTTTTTTTTGGTTTTTTTCGAGACAGGGTTTCTCTGTGGCTTTGGAGGCTGTCCTGGAACTCGCTTGGTAGTCCAGGCTGGTCTCAAACTCACAGAGATCCTCCTGCCTGTGCCTTCCAAGTGCTGGGATTAAAGGCGTGCGCCACCAATGCCCGGCCACAGGTGTGATTTTTAAGAGCAAAGGTTTGCTTTAGAATGGGCTAGGATGCTGCCCAGGGTGGTGGCGCACGCCTTTAATCCCAGCACTAGTGGCAAGGTGTGTAACTTTAATTGGGCATGTTAATTAAGGCAGCCAAAGGGGACTTTTGATTGCTGGACTTCAATGCTTCGATAGCCGGACATTGGTAGTCCTGGAACTAGCTCTGTAGATCAGGCTGGTCTCGAATTCACAGAGATCCGCCTGCCTCTGCCTCCCGAGTGCTGGGATTAAAGGCGTGCGCCACCAATGCCCGGCTGTAAGTTAACGGTTTTTAGCAAGGCAGAGGGAATGGGGAGAAGGGCAAGGCCTGCCCAAGCCATGTGCTCAAGTAGGCGAGTGCCCCCTCACTCCCATTCCCATCATTTTGTTTTATTACTGGGAAGGTGGGGCATTGGGTAAATGGCTGTGATCTTCTCTGTCTGCTTCCTGCTGATGTTGGGTCATAGTTGTTATGGGACCCAAGGAAACTGGGTTGTTGGTCAAGGTCTGGAAGGACAGGCTCTGCAAGACCATCTGAGGCCAGGAAAGTGTAGTCTGTGAGCTGGACCAGGGTATAGATTTTGAGGAGACAGATAGGGTGGGCAATGGAGTTGATTTGGAATCCATTTGGACAGATAGACTAGGGACAGAGGTGAAACTAAGGAGTTTAGAGGGAAAATGGGGGCCTTGTATGTACATTTGAAACTATTAGTAGTTCCCAACCAGGGAACTATGGGAAAATCCCACTCTTAGGAATAGGCAGTGAGCAGGAAAACTTATGCTGTTGGTTATCTGGAGTCTTCTCTCAGGTCTCAAGTACTCTTGAGAGGAGCCAGGACAATTCAGATTAGAACAACCGGCATCTGAACGCAGGGTCTGCCTGTGTTGGAGAGAATACAATCTGAGAGGCTTTTGTTACAGCAGAATAGTGTTTCCCTGGATGTCCAGGTAGGTTCTGAAACTGAAATATTTCAGAAACATGGGTAACTGGAGAGGCTTTTGCCAAACGGTGAGAGGGATGGTCTATAGCAGGGTTTGGGCATGGGTAGAGAGAAGCCATCTTTGGCTCCCAAAGGGAAGCTCAGGTGGTAGGGGCAAGTGATTACGAGTGGGGGTTGGGACTCGGTGTCTGAAGCGTCACCAGCAGAGGAACTGTGGCAGGGAGGGCATTGAAGAGAGACACAGAGAGCAAGAGAGGCTTTGGGACGTTTGAGGAAAGGAAGAAGAGGAACGAAGGAGTGTCGGGGAAGCTGCTGGGGGTGTGTGCACAGCTCCTGTCAATTCTGGAAAGGACACCCTTTCCTAGGAAGGGAATAGGGGAGAAGGGAGGAGTCTTGAGTGGTCTGGAAAACCGGTTATGTGTTCTGACTACGGGTGAAGATGGCTGGGACCCCAACAGTAGCACAGAGAGAAGGAAAGAGATCTGAAACAACTTTTTTGAAGGTTTGATTGTTTTATGTATATGGGTGCTCCATCTGTATATATGCCTTTATGCAGAAGAGGGCATCAGATCCTACTATAGGTGGCTGTGAGCCATCATGTGGTTGCTGGGAATTGAACTCAGGACCTCTGGAAGAGCAGCTAGTGCTCTTAACCACTGAGCCATCTCTCCAGTCAAACTTTTTTTCTTGTTTTTGTTTTTTGTTTTTTTTTTTTTGAGACAGGGTTTCTCATTTCTCTGTGTAGCCCTGGCTGTCCTGGAACTCGCTCTGTAGACCAGGCTGGCCTTGAACTCAACAGAGATCCACCTGCCTCTGCCTCCCAAGAGCTGGGATTAAAGGCCTGTGCCACCACTGCCCCGTGGAAACAACTTTTTATATACCTCAAATTAATTTCTCCAACCCATAAATGACTCTCTCAAACCCTCATGACTTACGTAAACGTTTATATCTTCAGACCTTAACCCATTCTGTTGAACTGTCATAGCTGTTAGGGTTCACGAGACGTCCCGTAAAAGACATGTATGCAATCAACAAAAAGCATTTAATTCTCGAGAGCAAATATTCCAGCATGAAAGAGTGGCAAAATTGTGAGCCCAGGAGAAACTTTCAGGCTTCTTTTAAGCAAGACAGGGGGGTTCCAGGGAGGGGAGGTTACTCTGGAGGCTGATTGGTGGGCTTAAACAAAAAGTTGACAGGTTCTTATAGGATTGGCTGGTGGATTTAGTGGTTAGGGACTTCCCCAATGCAGGGTGGGAGAAGCTATTTGGAGTGGGGGGGTCGAGACAAGGTTTCTCTGTGTAACAGCCCTACCCGTCCTGGAACTCACTCTATAGACCAGGCTGGCCTCTAACTCACAGATCCACCTGCAAAATTATGGGGGCCAATTACATTCAGACTTCCACAGCTCTCCAGCACCATGTCTGCCTGCACGCCTCCATACTCCCTGTCACCACGCCCCCCACAATGACGTTGATGGACTGAACCTCTGGAGCTGTCAGCCGCCACCTCAATTCAATGTTCCCTTCATGAGAGTAGTGTGGCCGTGGTGTCTCCTCACAGCGAGAGAAGCCCTGACAAAGACAGGTGGTATCCATGCCCGTCTGTTGTAGGCTCCCTGTCCGGGATGAGTAGACAGACCTGTGTGTCCCAGAGGGTGCCCCTGATGTGGGGGTGAGTATACACAGAACTACCAAAGCCCCCTAACGATAATGCCCTCTTCTGTCATGACAGCCTTCCTATGGTGTGGGAGAAACAGAAGCAGTATATCATCCCCCAGAGCACGTTCCCCTACCCCCGCCTTCTTCTTCATCCGGGTTATTCCTTGAGTTGCGCCTTCTAGGCTGGATACACATTAAAGTACCACATGGCTAGTACCAGTCAGTCTGGGGTCGGAAGAACCCTGCAGCTGCCCAAAGTGTTGTCTTTACTTGGGATCTGACTTTGGTTTCCCAAATGATTATTTCTAAAAGCCCACAGAGGAAAACAGATGATTAACTAAGAAAATGGTGATGTCAGTGAAGAGAAAGGCTCCCGCCTTGGCTACCAGAACATGCCAAGCCATTTCCACAGCTTTACCAGAGTCCTAGAGTAACGTGTGTGCAACAGACTCTCAGGAGACATCGACTCTTTCCCAATGTTCAGTTTGCTTATTTCCTTTTTCTGGTTTTCTTTTTGTTGTTTTGTTTTGAGACAGAGTTTCTTTATTTTATTTTATGTTTTGGAGACAGGGTTTTCTTTGCGTAGCCCTGGATGTCCTGGAACTCGCTTTGTAGACCAGACTGGCCTCGAACTCACAGAAATCCACCTGTTTCTGCTGAGATTAAAGCATGGGCCACCACTGCCCGGCTCGGTTCTTAACATTTATTTTATTTGTGTTTGCACACGGCAAGAGTGCAGAGAACAACGTTTGGATGTCAGTTTTCTCCTTCAAGGTCATCCTTAGCTGTCCGAGCTTCGTGACCAGCTGTTTCAAAAATGCAACCAAGGGCTAGAGACGCATTGGCTACACACTGGTGAAGGTTCAGTTCCCAGAACTCCAGTTCCAGAGGATCCAGCGCTCTTTGCTGGCTTCTTCCGGCGTTGTATGCATACAGTGCACTTGCAAACGTGCTAGGCAAAACACTCACACACACAAAATAAATAAATACGAGTAAACGAATCTCTAAAAGCAATTTAAAAACTAAAATTGAAATTACAAACAGGCTGATGGTAGAACAGCCCCACCCTGCAACCGAAAGGGTGCAACGGCTTTTCTGACCGCCAGGTGACAATCTCAAGGCTTGCCACCCCCCAAAAGGGGGGCCGGAGGAGACGCATGCGCACTGCTCCTCGGCTTCGCCGTTGGAGCTACGCCTGCGCGGGCGGCGGGGCACGCGACGTCTCCCCGTGCGCACTGCGCCCGTGTCCGCGGCCCCGCGCGCCCGCCCCGCGCCCCGCCGTCCCGTTCTTCCCGGGTCTCCGCGAGCGGCAGCGCCGACCCCGCGCGCGGTCCGACGATGTCGCAGCCGCCCGCAGTCAGCAGCGTCCCGCAGACGGGCGCAGCGAGCGGCGACCGCGGGCTCCCGCGGGCCGAGGTAGGCGGCGGGCGCCGTGCGCTCCCGGGCCCGGCGCGACCCGAGGAGATCCGGGGAGGCCCGATGGCGGCGGCGGCCCGGGAAGGCCCCGCGACCCCGGGGGCGGCGGCCAGGGGAGGCCGGGTGGCGGCGGCCCGAGAAGGCCGCGCGGCGGAGGCCCGGGGGGGCCCGGCGGCGGCCCGGGGGGGCGCGGCGGCGCGAGAGGGCCCGCTGGCGGCGGCCGCGTCCAGGGAAGCCCGGATGGCGGAGGTGGCCCGGCTGCTGGGCGAGCCCCTGGAGGAGGAGGCGCCCGAGGGCCGGCCCCGGTCCAGGGCGGGCGGCCTGGCGGCGCTGCCCTACCTGCGCCTCCGCCACCCCCTCAGCGTCCTGGGCATCAATTACCAGCAGTTCCTGCGCCACTACCTGGAGAACTACCCGATCGCCCCGGGCCGCATCCAGGAGCTGGAGGAGCGCCGGCGGCGCTTCGTGGAGGCCTGCAGAGCCCGGGAGGCAGCCTTCGACATCGAGTACCTGCGCAACCCGCAGAGGGTGGACTTCGACATTCTGACGTTTACCATAGCCCTGACTGCGTCGGAGGTGATCAATCCTCTCATAGAAGAACTGGGTTGCGATAAGTTCATCAGCAGAGAGTGAGGGGGCCCGGGCGAGGGTGGCGGGCACCGCACCAGGAGGACCTCGGCAGCCGCGTCCAACCCCATCCCGCAACTTGGTTTTCGGAAGTTAAAGGGAGCTTGAGAATGAGGCAGTGCACCGTTGGAGGGGGGGGGAGAGAAAAGCGCCAGAAAATCGGGGGAGGGGGTTGTCCAAAGCGTCGTTAGACTCCCGCAACGTTCCTTGACTTTATTGATTGGTTGAGAGTTCTCGTGTTACGGAAAACGCCCATCCACGTGGCTTCGTTAATGAGGTAAAGGATGGTTTTCTTGTAAAATGCTGAGACTCGAAAGAAAATCGCCAGTAGCAGACTACGCTCACGATGAAGGAAGAGCAGCGTGGAGAGTTTAAACTGGTTTTAGGACCAAGTGTCTGTCAAAACTTGACCTCTGCAGATCTCGCCTTCTCTTCATGTCAGAGTCTACGAGAGTGTAAGACTGGTTTTGTGTTTCTGGGACGTTGGGAATGGCAAGCAACATAAATATTGTATATAGTATGTGATAAATGTGTTTTAAACGGTATCAAATTTCTGGAATTTTGTTTTCCATTTCCGAAGCTTTTTTTTCCTAAGTCATCCTTTCATAAGCCCCAAGAATATGAAGACTGAAGTCTTTTGTCCTCCCCTCCTTCCCGTACCTAATGCAGCCTCTGAAGTCAGCCTCCTCCCTAATTTCATTATGTATATACAGTATATGTTTTTATTTAGTTACAAAGTCGACATGTTTTGGTTTACATATTGTGACTTGGTTAAGAAAATATCTTGAAGAACCTTCCCGACCAGTATGTTTACTCCTTCAAACTGTTTCTTTGCATCCTGTGGCTATGCTATAATGAACCAGAAACACACTGATGGCCGGCTGGGCTGTCTGCTTTTCTCCTGGCATCATAAAAGCCCCTCTGGTAGGCTGTTACTGCTTGTCACCTGGCTGTGCTTTGGTTCTGACGGCAACGCGGTTTTCAAGTTTATCATCTCAAGTTGGAATCCGTCTTATGCTTGACGGTGTTACAGATCATTTTCTTTTCTCTACGTTTCCATAAAACTGATGGTGCATCTCACTAGCTTCTTAGGCTTTTGTTCTTGGTAATATCTGGAGTCTGAGTTCTAGAAGTGACACTCCTGGGCCAGAAGTTTGCCTTTGGGACTTTACAGACTTTACAGATATAGCAAATTGACCTCTTCACAGTCCCACCAGTAAATGGCTATTTCCTGGCTGCCTAGTCAATGTGCTCAACCGTCACATGTATAGTGCTTACTAGCCTGATAGCAGAAAAAAGATACCAGTTTTAAGGTTTTTAATGTAAGTAGTCTGTTCATTTAAGAATGAAAAGGGGGCTTGCAATATTTGTCAATGATAGCACACTCACCTAGAATAGCCCAGTGCTAGCACACCACCCCCAGTGAGGCTGAGGATATGCCTCAGTGGTAGAGAATGTCCCAATGAGGGACTGAGGTGTGGCTCAGTGGTAGAGCTCCTGCCTAGAATCCCTCAGTGAGGGGCTGGAGTGTGGCTTATTGGTAGAGTACCTGCCTAGAATTCCCCAGTAAGGGGCTGGGGGTGTGGCTCAGTGGTAGGGTCCTTGCCTAGAATCCCCCAGTGAGGAGCTGGGGGTGTGGTTCAGTGGTATAGCACCTGCGTAGAATTCCCCAGTGAGGGGCTGGGGTATGGCTCAGGGGTGGAGCCCTTCCCTAGAGAATGCACAAGTAAGTCTCTGAGTCTGGCCCCCAGAACCACAAAAATCTAACTTCCTCACGTGACCGTCCACATTCTTTTTTGTTTTGTTGTTGTTTGAGGCAGGGTTTCTCTATATAACCCTGGATGGCCTTGAACTCTGAGATCTCCCTGCCTCTACCTCCTAAATGAATGCTGGAATTAAAAGTGTGCACCACCACCACCACCCAGCTGACAGTCCACATTCTTTATCCATTTCTCCCCTCAACACTTTCTTTAATGGCTGTTAGTGCCATTAGGTATGGCAACAGTTTGTGATATGAGTTACAAATATATTCTTCCAGTTGTTCAACTGGCTTTTCTTAAATTTTTTATTTTTATCCTCCATGTGGGTTCAGGGAACCAAACTCAGGTAACCAGACTTGTGTGGTACCCACAGAGCCAACACACCTGCCTGGATTATTTATCCTGTTTTCCCTAAACCGTGCAAGATTTTAAATCCCAAAGTTTCCTTGGTGTGTGCTTGGGATTTCATTTTTTTATCTTGAAGCATTGGGGATTTATCCAGGGGAGTAATGGTATGAGGTAAGGACCCACCCTTCACATAGCAAACAAGCTACCAGAGAGCTTTAGGTTTCCTGATGCTGAACCCACTCATAGTTTCTAGTTATTTTTGTTGATGTTTACTTGAGGGGGCAGTGTTGAAATGGGTTCTCTGTGTAGCCCTGACTGGCCTGGAACTCGATCTGTAGACCAGGCTGGCCTCGAACTCAGAGATCCAACTGTCTCTGCCTCCCAATTGCTGGAATTAAAGGCGTGAACTACCACACCCAACATTATTACTATTATGTATTAGTATTAGTTCAGACCAAAAAAAAACAACCCTTTTTATTAGAATCATTTTACATATAACCCAGGGATAACTGCTATCTTTAAGATACTGAGTCTTATATTTTAAAGACTTTATCTTAGTATGTGTGAATGTTGCCTGCATTTATGTCTGTGCACCATGTGTGTGCAATGCCTCCGAAGGCCAGAAGAGGGCACTGGATCCTTTGGAAGTAGAATTACCCACAGCTCTAAGTCGCTATGTGGGTGTTAGAAAGCAAACCCAGGTCTTCTGCAAGAGCAACATGCGCTCTCAACCTCTGAGCCATCTCTCCAGCCACTGAATCTGTTTTGAGGTGTGTTTTGTCATATTTGATTTAAGACAGATCTCACTTCTAGCTCATGCTGGCCTGCAACTTAATTCCTCCCTGTCTCTGTCTCCCAAATGCTGGATTACAGGTATGAGCAATCTCGCCTAGGGAGGAAAGGAATGCTTCTTGCCAGGTGGTGGTGGCACAGTCCTTTAACCCCAGCAGAGGAAGGGGGTCTCTTGAGTTTGAGGCCAGCCTGGCCTAAAGAGTAAATTCCAGGGCAGCCAGAGCTACACAGAGTAACTGTGTCTTGAAAAAAACAAAAATAAATAAAAAGATATAGAACTCTCCCTGTCCAAATAAGCTTTTTCATATTTTTCATTTGTTTCTTTGTTTTTCAAGACAGTTTCTTTGTGTAGCCCTGCCTGTCCCAGAACTCACTCTATAGACCAGGCTGGCCTCCAACTCCGAGATCACCTGCCTCTGGCTCCCGAGTGCTGGGACTAAAGGTGTGTGCCACCACACCCAGCTAGACCCACTGGTGGTGGCTCATGCCAGTAATCCCAGGACGTGGAGGATGAGGCAGGAGGATCACAAGTTTGAGGCCAGCTTAGGATAAATATCCGGGCTCAAAAAAATTAGGGCTGGGAGTCAGAACAACCTGTAAAAATGCTTGTTTCCCATGAATGATGACCCAGATTTGTCCAGAAAGCCCACGTGGAAAAGTATATGATTTGACACTGGTGATGCAGAGAATTCCTGAGGTTCGCTGACCAGCCAGCAACCCTGGGGCCAGTGAGAGCCCTGTATCAGAAACAGGGTGGCACTGTCACAAAGGACACTAGAGGCTGGCCTCTGAATCCCACATGCACGTGGCGTCTGCGCACACATGATGAACACACACACACACTTTAAAAGCCTCTTTGTAGCCTTGAGTGTAAATGTTTATTTGGAGAATACTAACACTGTTAAATGAGTTTCCCTAAAATCGGTCTCTCATGGTCTACACGTTCTTCCTAGATGTCTTACCTTTGGTCTTGAAGGCTTGGTGCTCTAGGAGACCGAAAAGAGGACTCTGAGCCCCTGGGGCTGCAGTTACAGCTGTGAGCCGCCACGTGGGTGCTGGGAATCGAACTTGGGTCCTGTGGAAGAGCAGCTGTGCTCCCAGCCACTGGGTTTACCCCTATCGTATATTCCGACGGCTCCTTCATCTCTTCAAAATGATTAGTCTCTGCTCAGTTCTCAGATAGCCTGCCAGTGTGCTCGATTATGTTAGTTTGCCCTGTTCACATGATTCTCTACGACCTTTGAGTCTGTGTGTCTTCTGTGTGGTGTACACACGTGGGTATGTGTGTCTGTGAGCATGTATGCAGAGGCCAGAGCAGGTGTCCTCTGCCACCTGCCCTGAGACAGTCACGGAAACTCGGGCTAGGCTGGCAGCCTCCTTCCGTCTCTACCTCCCATGAGACAGTCACGGAAACTCGGGCTAGGCTGGCAGCCTCCTTCCGTCTCTACCTCCCATGAGACAGTCACGGAAACTCGGGCTAGGCTGGCAGCCTCCTTCCGTCTCTACCTCCCATGAGACAGTCACGGAAACTCGGGCTAGGCTGGCAGCCTCCTTCCGTCTCTACCTCCCATGAGGGCAGGGTTATAGTGACCATTGGCAGCTTTTTACAGGGATGCTGAGATCTGCATTTCAGGCCCTCGGGGTTGCACAGCGTGAGGGCAATCTTGATTATTAATTTGATTTACCTGGAGAGAAGGGCCTCAACTGAGGAATTACCTTGAGCTTATTGGCCCACGGGTAAGTCTATGAGGCATTTTCTTCATTGCTAATTGATGTAGCAAGACCAAGCCCGCTATAGGCAGTCATCTCTGGAAAAAGTAGCTGGACAAGCGGTGAGCAGCACCCTCCATGGCCTCTACATCAGCCCCTGCCTCCAGGCTCCTGCCTTGAGTTTCTGCCCTGATTGCTTCCAAGGTTGACCATGACCCTAGAGTGATGAACTGAAATAAACCCTTTATTCCTCAGATTTGTTTTGGTTGGGGTTTTTGGTTTGTTTTTTGTTTTGTTTTATTTTGTTGATTTTCAAGACAGTATTTCTCTGTAAACCAGGCTAGCCTCGAGAGATCTGCCTGCGTCTGCCTCTCGAGTGCTGGGATCACAAGTGCTGGAGTTTCTTGCTAGCCTGGTTCCATGGCCGCTTTTCAGCCCCAAGTGAGCACACAGAGACATTATAAACTGTTGGCTGATGGCTAGGGCTTCATACTGGCTAGCTGTCTTAATAATTAACCCATTTCTATTAATCTAAGTATTTCCACGTGGGCTTATCTTACCGGAGAAGGATCCGGACCTGTTACTCCTTTGGCGGCTGCATGGAGTCCTCTCGCAGTCTCTCTCTGCCTTCCCTTTCCCAGCATTCTCCTTGTCTCCTGATCCCACCTATCTTCCTGCCTCTACTGGCCAAGCAGTGTTTTTGTTCATCAACCAATAAGAGAAACATATGTACAGAAGGACGTCCCCATCAGCGTGCACCACACTGCCCGGCTCTTCCCCAAGGCTGTCTTGGCCGGTGTTTTATCACATCTGTCGGTGCTCAGACATCTCTTTATTGGCTCCTGGGCCACTGCACTCTGTAGAATGTGGTGAGTGACCATGACTTGTGAAAGCTCTTTCCATAGTCATCCTCCCTCCCCCCTCCCTCCCTCCGTCTCGTGTGTGTGTGTGTGTGTGTGTGTGTGTGTGTGTGTGTGTGTGTGTAAATGGATGTTGGAGGGTGTTGGAGTGATGGCTCAAGGATTAAAAGCATTGTTGCCATTGCAGAGGACCCAGGTTCAATTCCTAGCACCTTGGGCTCACAATCATAATCACCTGTTTCTCCAGTTTCAGGGGATCTGACACCCTATTCTGTGCTGCACAGGCGTCTGGCACACAGGTAGTGCACATAGTACAGGCATGCAAACACTTATGAACATAACCCTAAAAGAACCTGAAAGAATGGCCGTCGGGATGGGGCTGGAGAGATGGCTCAGCTGGAAGGAGTACTTACTGCTCAGTCTTGAGGACCAGGGTCTGGGTGCCAGCACCCATATTGGGCAGCTCACAACCACCTGTAACTCCAGCTCCAAGGGATCCTGTCCTCTTCTGGCCTCTAAGGTCACCCCAATGCATGTGTATACACACATTCACATGGAAACACAGAAGCACACATCTAAATGAAAAAGGACATCTGTTTTTAAAAAGAAAGGTGGTTGGGCTTTGTCAAAGGCTTCTCAGGCTATGAACATGCTGGACTTGGTACACACCTGTAATCCCAGCACAGTGGGGACAGAGGCAGGAAGATGCTAAATTGGAGGCCAACTTTTGTTATATGGCAAGACTCTGTCAGAAAACCCAGAATCTGGCTGGGTGGTGGTACCTTTAATCCCAGCACTCAGGAGGCAGAGGCAGGCGGATCTCTGTGAATTCAAGACCAGCCTGATCTACAAGAGCTAGTTCCAGGACAGCCTCTAAAGCCACAGAGAAACCCTGTCTCAGAAAACAAACAAAAAATAACCCAGAATCTGCTGGGATATGCTGGTGCACACCTTTCCACCCAGCATTCAAGAGGCAGAAGCAGGCAGATCTCTGTGATTTTGTGAGTTCGAGACCAGCCTGGTCTACAGAGTGAGTTCCAGGACAGCCAGGGCTACACAGAGAAACCCTGTCTCGGAAAGCAAAACAACCGATGACCGTGATCTTAGGTTATGTCAGATACACCATGATCAATTGTGAAATCATGTTGAGAAAAGCTAACAGTACATGATCTTTACAGTTTTCAAATTTACTAACAAGCTGTGCGTGTGACACAGAGATGGGTATCACTGAGTAGCCGTGCTGACTGCAGTGTTAACCGAGTCCATCACCACTGAGCTGTACGCCAGTCAGTGTGTGTGCACATGTCACAGGATGCATAGGGTCAGGGGACAACTTGCAAGAGTTGCTTTTCCTTCTCCATGTGGCTCTGGAGCAAGACACCAACCATCACCTTTACCTCCTGAGGCAACCCTTGGTCGCCACCTACTTGTATTCACTTTGAGACAGGGCGTTACTAAGTTGCCCAGACTAGCCTTGAACTCAACCCGAACTCAACCCTGTAGCCCAAGCTGGCCTTGAACTTGGCCTCAGGCACCTGAGTAGCTGCAGTTGTAAGCTCAGCTGCTACAATGTTGACAGGTTGGTGATGCTAGTCTCTGGCTGGATTCACCACAGGCACAAGAAGGCAGGTGCAGAGACTATTAAATGACCGTGGTACAGCTGTGTTTCAGACAGAAACTGGTGATTTGAAGTTGATTGGATGCAAGGGGCTCTCACACACTTCCGGCAGATTTTCACATAGCCCTAGCTGGCCTAGAACTTGCCATGTAGCCAAGGATGACTCCCAAATACTTGCATTGCAGTGGGCCCCACCAGAGACAGCTCTCCTGTATGGTCTTTAGATGATTGATTGGCAGTTGTAACCAAGGGAGAGTTCCAAGACAACAGTGTATTACACTCAGGTAAACGAGGCGCCTCTGAATGGTGAAGATGGCTATGTGAACCGTGAGGGGAACAGGAAATGGAGGTCTTTCCTGAGAATCGAGAAAATATGTCAGCCCGATGGATCCCTGGGTAGACGTGCTTGCTACCAAACCTGACAGCCTAGGTTCAATTCCACATGGTAGGACCAAACTGACTCCTAACAGTCGTATTCTGATCTCCATGCACTCGCTATGGCTTGCACATGCGCACACACCCAAACTTCAAATGTGGCACAGGAGCCAGAGGTAAACAGCTTGTCAAGTTAGACGAGCAACCTGAGTTCGACACCCCAACCCCACATAAGGGTGGAAAGAGAGGACTATACAGATGCGTGACAAAACGCCCATACACGTTTTTTTTTTAATGAAAATTAGCCGGGCGTGGTGCCACACGCCTTTAATTCCAGTTTTCTGGAGGCAGAGGCCAGCACTTCTCTCAGCATATATATGAGTTCCAGGCCAGCCAAGGCTACATAGTGTCCCGAGCTGCAGGCGGCCACGGTGGTAATCGCACACGGCACCGCTAGGGGGCGATCGATGTCCGCGCACGGTGCTTGCGCACGCACTCCGTTCTCCAGCGCGCCGAGGCCCGCGCATGCGCACGGCCTCACCGCCGCTGGAGCCGGTTCCTAGCGCTCCTCGGCTCCGCGCTCTCCGGTGACCTAACGGACTCAACGATCGGCGATGTCCGAGCTGCCCGGAGAGAGCCGAGTCCCCGACCTGAGCCCCGTGGCTGGCATCGGCGACGTCCTGCATGGGGACGTGGGCGGAGGCAGTCGGGTCCCCGAGGCCCAGGAGGGCCCGCTGGCCGCAGCCGCCCGGTTCGTGGCGCCGGCCCCGGGCCCGCTTCCCAGGCGACTCCCCGGCGTGGCGGGCCTGGTGGCCATGCCGCACGTCCACGCGCCGCTCCGCCTTCTAGAGCTGCACGAGCAGCGGATGTTCCAACACTACCTGCACACCAACCCCCTGATCCCCGCCCGGCTGCTCCGCGACATCGAGGAGCGCCGCCGGCTCTTCGTGGAGGGCTGCAGGGCCAGGGAGGCGGCCTTCGACGCCAACCCCCCGCAGATGGACTCGCACGCCCGCGCCTTCACGCTGGCGCTCACCGCCTCCGACGCCCGCGGCCCCACCGCTGACTGAATTGGTGGCCTTAGCCTCTAATGCCAGCCCTCGGGAGGGAGGAGGCTGGAGGATCCGGAGTTCAAGGTCCCCTCGGCTACGCAGAGTGGGAGGCCAGCCTGGGCTACAGGAGACTCTGTCTTTTATATAAAAAAATAAAAATAAAAAGATTGATGGCCAGGAAGTCAGGTGACTCTTAGGGTCAAGGGCAGAGGCAGAAGTCTGGGCAAATGTCATGAGGTTGGGAAGTCCAAGCAGATCTTAGGCGGGGGCAGGGTGGAGTGCAGCAGGACCCGGAGGTGGACACTTGGGGCTTGAAGCTGGTGGCAAAGAAGACTCTTCTGACTTCCTCCTCGTGACCGTTAGCGATCCCCCTACCCCCCCGCATTTGTGGGAACTCAAGGTTGCATTACTATGAAGGATGGTTTTGCAAAGATGAAGTCTAAGAATTACCAATGTTAAAAGAAAAAACTTAGAAATCAACTGAGATACGGAGAGAAACCGGGGAGATTGGTTCACAGTTGCTCCTGGGTTTGACTAGCATCAGAAGAGACAACTTGGACACTTCAGAACTGAGGGGTCATCTCGTTATCAGCTGACAAGCTCAATGTGCCGTTAATTCTTGTGTTTGATGCTCTGTAGACAAGTTGTAAATATTCAGATGGGGGGAAATCAAGTATGTGTTTGTGAGATGAGTATTTCTCAAGACAATGTGCACTTGTATCCACGGGGGAATAGATTTCATTTTTTTAAGCTTTTATTTATTATGTACACAGTGTTCTGTCTATGTGTCTGCCTGCATTCCAGAAGAGGGCACCAGATCTCATTATAGATGGTTGTGAGCCACCATGTGGTTGGTGGGAACTGAACTCAGGACCTTTGGAAGAGCAGCCAATGCTGGTAACCTCTGAGCCATTTCTCCAGAACCAGATTTCCTATTTAAATGACAGGTGTGCCGTCACAAGCCGCAGAAGTAGCAAAAGATGCTTTGGGAAGTTAAACTTTTCTCTCTGCCACACTGAAAACTGTCTAAGCAAGCATCCATAGTGATTTGGGTTGGGGTGGGGAGATTGTTCTCTGAAGGGTTTTCAAAACCATTTTCTAATGCATATGCAAGTTGAAACCAACCAAATTCTCTCTCCTAATCCCGGTGCTGAGGATGGGACCCGGATCCTTACACTTGCTACCCCTGCCCTACATTTCCAGTCCCTTTGAGTCAAGGTGGGGCTGGTGACATTGGTTACAGTGTTGCCTCTGAGCCTATTACTGAGTTTGATCCTGGGACCCACATGGTGTGAAGGTCCACTCCTCTTTCTGCTGACCACCACTCATGTACACACACATGCAATGTAAAAAAAGAAATCTCGATGGTATGTACCTGTATCAGCATCTCGGGTTTTTTATATTTTCAGTTATATGGGAAGTAATTCTCTATTGTTTTCTTTTTTAATGACTACTGTTTACGGCTGTATCTTAACATATTTAATGAACTAGTCTTTTGGGCATCTGGATTGCTTGAAAATGTTTTCTTTTAAAGATTTGTGTGTGAGAGCTTGTGTGAGTACCTGTGTAGCATGTGGGTGCAACACGAGACTGGGGGGGCCAGAGGAGGGTGTGGGATCCCCAGAACTAGAGTTACAGGCAGCTGTGAGCCACAGGTGGGTGCTGGGAACTGAACCCACTCCACCGAGCCATCTCTCCAGTCTTTAGTTTTGGTTTGTTGGAAACAGGGTCTCTGTATGTAGTTCTGGTTGGCCTAGAACTTGCTGTGTGGTAGACCAGGTTGGCCTTGAACTCACAGAATCTCATGCCCCTGCCTCATGCCTGGCTTCTGTGTGTTTCGTTGAGAAGGGGTTACATGGAACTGGGGCTGATGAAGAACCCTGATCCACCCCACCCCACCCCACCCCCAGGTTCTGGGACTCAGGGTGCGTGTCATTGTTTCTGTAATGTCCTGTGCGTGTGTGCTTGCTCTTTCCATAGGGAAAACGTATTAATGCATGGAATCAGTAAAGGTGGCATTTCTCATAGGTATCCCCAATCTTTGAGCCTCTGTTTACTTCCTTTTGCTCATGTGCCTCTTTCTCTACACCCAGCCCAATCCTTCAGACTCCTCCTCGGGAAAAACTCGGTGTTTGCATTTCTCTGCAGGGCAGAGGCACTGCTTTCCATGTGTGGAGGCCATTTGGTTTGTCCATAGCCTTTAAGTCACCAAAGAGTTAGTGCTCAGTGGGTATGGTGGCACACATCTGTAATCCAATTGCTTGGGAGGCGGAGACAAGCCAGTCCAGCTGTGGTGGCACACGCCTTTAATCCCTGCATTTGCGACAGCCAGGGCTATGTAGTGAGATCCTCTAACAGTAAAAGGTCTAGATTCTAGAGTTCAGACCAGCCTGGGCAATTTAGCACGGGGCTGGCAAGATGGCTCAGTGGGTAGACAGCTGGCCAGGAAGCCTGATGAACCCTGAAACCACAAGCTGAGCGGACAAGTCCCTCCAAAGGTGTCCTCTGACCTCCCCATGACCCCGTCCCACACGATAAATCTTACCCACCCCTCTTCAATACAAGATGTTTCTAGTGCTGACTGCATTGACACCCCCACCCCCACCCTGCAGGCAAGTGTTAATACTCCACCTTTCTTCCCTTATGGTTTCCAGAATGACTCACAATGGTTTTGCCACATGTGGCCAAGTGTAGTCATTACCTGTAACCCCAGCACTCAGAAAGCTGGGACAGGATGGCTGAGTTTGAGGCTTTCCTGGCACCACATTGTGAGATCAAAACAAAAACAAAACCAACCACTGTGCATGATGAACACAGACTGACTGGGATGCTGACATTGATCTTCTCATCTGGGACACTTGAGGTTCTAGAAGCACCCTAGAGATATGTCTCTTCCTTTTCTCTTTGACTTTTCCAGATAAGGTTTTTCTGTGTAGCCCCAGCTGTCCTGGAACTCACTCTGTAAACCAGGCTGGACTTGAACCCAGAGATCCACCTGCCTCTGCCTCCCAAGTGCTGGGATTAAAAGTGTGTGCCACCACCACCTGACCTATTTCAACTGTTCCAGTACAATCAAAACTTCTCCAAACACATCTTAAATTAAGCTGTTGGGAATGAAGCTGTGAAAATTAACAAGCTGGTCTAGCCTTACATTCCAAGGAAGCTGTGTCCTGATTCCTGTCACTGTCATGAAATACTTGAAACAATCAACCTACAAGGAGGAAAGGCTAATTCTGGCTCACAGTTTGAAAGACCTCGGTCGTAGTCAGCGTGACCCTTTGCCTTGGGCCTGGGGTGGCATGGTACCTCATGGCTCATGGTGCCAGGAAAACAAAGCCAGAAAGGCAAGGTCTAGGCTCCCAACATCCCCTTCTGGAACACACACCCAATAATCTCACTTCCTGCCCGTAGACCTTACCTCCTCTCCACCACCTCTCAAAAGCAGCCCAGCAGGGGACCAAGCCTTCAGCGTGTGAGTCTGTAAGGGTGGAGTATGACCTTCCCCATCCTTCCTCCCGCTCGGTCTGTCCAGATGGGGGAGATGCTGAGAACACGGTAGCAGGTGACAGCAGACGTTCTCAGAGGCCAACACAGGGAAACAGATTATATTCTCTTTACTTTCCCAACCCACCCAAGCCCCAGCCACCATCAGAAAAGGACCTGGTTTGGCATCATTTCAGTCCTCCTCATCATCCGCTGAGGTTCCTGAGATGGGGAGAGAAACAAAACAGTAACCATTCCCCACAGACATACTGGTGTTTCTGTAGAGCTTAGTGTTCTAAGGCAGTCCGTATATACATGGAGGGCATCTTTGACCATATATATATTCATATATATGTATATTCATATATATGTGTGTATATATATATATATATATATGAGACCTCCTGCCTCTGCTTCCCCAGCACAGTGCGGGGATCAAACCCATGGCCTCCTGAACACTAGGCAAGCAGTCTACCAGTGAGCTACATCCCCAACCCTTTTGTGGTTCCCATGTGTGGGTATATGTGTGCTGTGTGTATGTGCTTGTGTGTGTATGTCTGTGCACATACATGCCAAGGCCAGAGGCAGGTGTCAAATATCTATCTCGCTCCACCGAGTTTTTTGTTAAGATTTACTTATTTTTGTTTTATATGTAGGAGTGTTTACCGGCACATATTTCTGTGTGCCGTGTGCATGCCTGGCACCTGCAGAAGCCAGAAGAAGGTGTGGATCCCCTGGAGCAGGAGTTACAGAGGGCTGTGAGCCACCGTGTGGGTTCTGGGAATAGCACCAGGTCCTCTGCCAGAGCAGCCCAGTGCTTAACCCCTGAGCCATCTCCCCCACCCATCCTATTGTTGACCCAGGATCCCAAGCTCTCAACTAGACAGGCTTGGCAATGAGATCCTGGGATCCACATTGTCTCCACCTTAGACACCAGAGTTACAGAACACATGGCCATGCCCAGCTTTATACATGAGTGCTGGGGATTTGAACTCAGGTTCCCTTGCTTTCACAAGCAGCGCTCTTAGTCACTAAGCCAACTCTTAGCTCCCCCGCCACCCATTCTTGAGAAATGCTCTATGGAACTCCCTGTAGAGCCCGTGTTGGCCTCAAACTCCCAGCGAGCCTCCTCCTGCCTCAGTTTACCCACTGCTGGGATTACAAGCACAGGCCACCATGCCCAGCTGTAAAAAGATAGCTTTGAGATCCTTGACTGGATTTTAGACGGTGTGATGTGTCGTGGAATAAAATTGTTTTAACTGGGCAAAGATGTGTTACATTTGTTTATGCTTCAGAATATTATTTCAACTGTCATACCCATTATAAATGTAAAAAGTGATATGTACAGCTCTACAGCCAGAAGCTAAGACAACATCCTTAGGCTCTTCTGATAGCCACGGGGCCCTAGGGACAGCCACGTCTTACCCATCACTCTGGGGGTCCTCTCCATGATCCCATTGACAAGCCAAGCTTAGTGTTGCTGGCCTGTCATCCAGGGAAAGCCAAGGCACGAGGACTGCAAACCCAAGGCTAGCCTGGGTAATTTAAGGAGGAACGGATCTCAAAATAAGAAAGGGGGAAAATACTACTCCATGCATAGCCCTCGGCGCACGGGTGTGAGACCCAGGTCAATCCCTGGCACCGCAGGGAGACAGGAGGGGTGAGCAAAGGGGTGAGCTGTGACTCAGCTGGCAGCACGCTTGCTTGGCGCACGCAAGGCTCTGCCTTCACCCCCAGCCTAGTGAATGGGAATGGTGGGCACCCCTGGAACCCAGCAACTTGGAGGTGGAGCCAAGCGCATCAAATGCTTCATGGTATGGTACGGAGGCCATCCTGAGCTACGTGAGACCCTGTCCCCCAAAGTGGGGTGTGTATGAAGAACTGGAGGGCTGGCGGGCGCTCAGACCTGAGACCCCAACACTTAGGAGGCTGAGGCAAGGAGGTGGCTGGGAGTTCAAGGGCAGCCTCAGCTACACAACGACTGCTAGGACTGCCTGGGCAATACAGTAAGCCTCTCTCAAAGGTGCTTGTTGCCCAGTTTCGTGACCTGAGTTCAACCCCCAGAAGCCACACTGGGTAGGAAGAGAAGTGACTCGCACAAGTTGTCCTCTGACCCCCACATATCTGCCTTGACTTTCATGTGCATCCCGCAATGTGAAATAAAAAATGCAAGCCGCGCTGTGTTGTGATTTTAAGGGCGAGCGTGGGCTGAGCTGGAGGCCTGGATGCCCGCCCGCCGCCGCCGCCGCCCCCTCCCCCGCCACAGCCGCCGCCGCTGCCGCCCCCACCCCTCCCCCACCCCTCCCCCCCGCCGCCACAGCCGCCGCCGCCCCCCCTCCCCCGCCACAGCCTACCTTCGCGCCTCCTCCTGGCCTCTGTTGCTCCTCATTCATCTCCAGCCCCATTTCCGCTGCTACCTTTTCTTGATCTCCTCATCGATAATGCCCACAAGTTTCTTCATACTGGACTCATCCACAAACCCGTCACCCTTCTGGGTATGGAGGAGAGAGCCCAGGCATGATTCTATCCTCCCAGCACCCCCAACCCTACCTCTGACCCTTTTCACCCCCTTGCCCAGAATCACCTTCTTGGAATGGACCAGCTTCCCATCCACAAACACTTCAAACTCCCCCGTTACCTGGGCAGCTCTTTCCTCCTCCTGGCAAAGGAATGCTTGAGTGGAGGAGGCTGGGAGAGCTCCTCCAAACCCTCAGGGGTCGGGGGACCCTGATCGCTCCTTCTCCCCCAGGTACCAGAACACTTACAAACTCCAGAAGGTTTGGAAATTGATGTTCCAGGGACTTTTTCAGAAGAATGTACTGAGAGGGGAAAAGATGGGGTCATGGGGTCACAGGAGGAGAAACGGGGACCCCCTTCCAGTCTTCAGGTCACATGCTCCCTTACATTCTGAAGAAGAAACGACTCACCCGAAGGCCATAGCTTCAGAGGCCACTGGAAGCAGAGGTCGGGGGGGAGGGGGGGCGTGGAGAGAGATAAGGGGAGACGTCATAGTGGCAGTGAGCCTGAGTCAGACCCCATCCCTGCCCTGCTTGGCGCACCCCACCCACCCATGGTACCATCTCAGGGGGAAAAAGCCACCATCCTCCTCATAGCCCATGAGTAGATTCAAAACTGTCCCCATCCTTCAGCCCTTGTCACCACCCTGTCCAGCTACGGAACCCATCTCGTGGGTCTTTCTATAACTGCGCACTGAGGTGCTGCCTCGGGGCCTGTGCACTGGCGGCCAGCTGCACAAAGCCCCTCCCCCCAGGACATGCATAGCTCCTCTCCATTCCTTCAGGCCACCTCCCCAGTCTTGACCCTCCCAGATGCTGTCCTGAGCATCCTAGCTGTGGCCCTGCCCTACACACTAGCAGGCAGGGTCACAAGGGTGGGGGTCTCCATCTTGTTCATTGCTCTGTGCCTGGTGTCACCTGACGTGTTTAAAAAACAAAACAAGCCGGGGCATTGGTGGCGCACGCCTTTAACCCCAGCACTTGGGAGGCAGAGCCAGGCGGATCTCTGTGAGTTCGAGGCCAGCCTGGTCTACAGAGTGAGTTCCAGGACAGCCTCCAAAACAATACTGAGAAACCCTGTGGCTGTTGAGCCAGATGTGGTAGTGTGTGCTCTAATCGGAGCACTTGGGAGACAGAGGTGACAGCCAGGGAGAGCTACATAGAAAGACCCTGTCTCAGAAGAAGATGGGGAGGAGGAAGAGAAGGAAGCAGAAACTGGGAGAGAACAGGGGGGACCAAGCTTGGGGAGAGGAGAAAAAGATACCATGGGGCAGAAAGAGTCAGAATGACCTGATAGAAATGGCTTGGCAGAGGCCAGGCGGGAGGCAGAGGCCGGCGGATCTCTGTGAGTTCAAGGCCAGCCTGCTCTACAAGAGTGAGTTCCAGAACAACCTCCAAAGCCACAGAGAAACCCTGTCTTAAACACGCCCCCCAAAAAAAGAAAGAAAGAAAGAAATGGTTTGGCAGAGCCAGAGGAGAATTCTCCAAAGCAGGAGAGGCATGGGGAAGACAGCCCTGAGCCTGAGGCAGCCCCTGGTAGCTGCATCCAGGTCCTCCAGCTCATTTCCCAACTGTCCCACTGCGGCCTGGCCTGCTCCGGGGCCAAAGCAAGTGAGGCGGTTCAGCAGGCCATCTCCAGGACCAGGAGCAGTCAGGACCCTCAGAGTGCAGTGCAGGGAGGAAGGGGAGTGGGCTCCCAGTCACAGGGATCAACAGATGAATCCAGTGAATGAGGATGGATGGATGGATGGATGGATGGATGGATGGATGGATGGATGAGGATGAATGGATGGGTGGATGGGTGGATGGGTGATGGATGGATGGATGAGGATGGATGGATGAATGAGGATGGATGGATGAGGATGGATGGATGATGGATGAGGATGGATGGATGGATGGATGAGGATGGATGGATGATGGATGAGGATGGATGGATGGATGGATGAGGATGGATGGGATGAGGATGGATGGATGAGGATGGATGGATAGATGATGATGGATGGATGGATGGGATGAGGATGGATGAATGGATGGATGAGGATGGATGGATGAATGGATGAGGATGGATGGATGAGGATGGATGGATGAGGATGGATGGATGAGGATGGATGGATGAGGATGGATGGATAGATGAGGATGGATGGATGGATGGATGGGATGAGGATGGATGAATGGGATGAGGATGGATGGATGATGGATGAGGATGGATGGATGGATGGATGAGGATGGATGGATGAGGATGGATAGATGAGGATGGATGGATGGGATGAGGATGGATGAATGAGATGAGGATGGATGGATGATGGATGAGGGTGGATGGATGAGGATGGATGAGGATGGATGGATGGATGAGGATGGATGGATGAGGATGGATGGGATGAGGATGGATGGATGATGGATGAGGACGGATGGATGAGAATGCAGTTTAGAGCCAGCAATCATACAAATGTTGAATGGATGAGAGTGGATGAATGAAGGTCAGTGCTACTACCAATCATAGGAATGAATGAATGAATGAATGAATCAGAATAAATGTATGCGTGAAGTTGAGAGGCAGGACTCATGCAGATCAAATGAGTCTGACTGCCAGGTGGGAAATGCCCATCGATGAACGGTTAAAAGCGAACGAACGCAGCTCAGTGACTCACACGAATGTTTGAAGGAACAGGAGTGAACTAATGAAGCAGAGTCAATAAACAAGAAAGCGGGAGTGAGCGAAGATGAAGGCAGAGATCGCAGGAGTTGCGTGGGGGTGAATGGAAGAAGCTGAAAGCCGGGCTGGGGAACCGAGCAACGTTTGCTAACCTCAGAGGGGCAGAGAGTGGGAGGCAGCGCCCCACCCGCCTGCCTCACTGCTTACACCAGGGCCAGCACAGGAATGCCCAGAGCCCCAGCACCCGCCATGCTCGCCTTTCACGGGTAGAAGGAGCCCCTCACCAGTATGTCACACGAATCAAAATTTTGCTGGCCGTTGTTAAGTTCTCGCTGGTTGAGGCCTTGGTGGAGATGAAGCTGGGTGATGGGGAAAGTGTGGGGAGCCGATTCAGAGCAGGGGCCACCTTTAGCTGAGTGGCCAAGAACTGTAGTCCGGGGATGGGGTCCGGAGTGGGGCCCAATGTACTGGAGGCCATGGCTTTGGAAGCCAAGGAGTCTAACTGAGGGGGGAAGTCCCGGACGGAGCTCAACGTCTTGGAGGCTGTGTCAGTGAGCACCGGAAGGGGACCCTGGATGGCCTCTGCTAGACTGTAGGTCAAGGGTTCCTCCTTCGAGGAAGAGCTAGCGGGCCTGGAAGAAGAGGGCTGAGCCACGGGTGAGTCCGAGTTCAGTGCTGGTCTCGGGGCCTGGACCGGTGCTGGAGTCCATGCCGGTGCTGGAGTCCACGCCGGTGCTGGAGTCCACATCCGTGCTGGGGTTCGCACCAGTGCTGGGGCCCACACCCGTGCTGGGGTTCGCACTGGTACTGGGGTTCGCACCGGTACTGGGGTTCGCACCGGTACTGGGGTTCGCACCGGTACTGAGGTTCGCACCGGTACTGGGGTTCGCACCGGTACTGGGGTTCGCACCGGTACTGGGGTTCGCACCGCTACTGGGGTTCGCACCGGTACTGGGGTTCGCACCGATACTGGGGTTTGCACCGGTACTGAGGTTCGCACCGATACTGGGGTTTGCACCGGTACTGAGGTTCGCACCGGTACTGGGGTTTGCACCGGTACTGGGGTTCGCACCAGTACTGGGGTTTGCACCGGTGCTGGGGTTCGCACCAGTGCTGGGGTTCGCACCAGTGCTGGGGACCAGGCTGGAGCAGGAGTTAGGACTGGGGCTGGGGCTGGGGCTGGGGCTGGGGCTGGGGTTGGGGCTGGGGCTGGGGCTGGGGTTGGGGCTGGGGTTGGGGCTGGGGCTAGGGTTGGGGCTGGGGCTGGGGTTAGGGCTGGGGCTAGGGTTGGGGCTGGGGCTGGGACTAGGGTTGGGGTTGAGGCTGGAGTTGGGGCTGGGGATAGAGTTAGGGTTGGGGGAGTTGGAGTTGGGGTTGGGGTTAGGGTTGGAGCTGGGAACCGGATTGGAGGAGGGGTTAGGAACTGGGCGGGAGGCCGGACCGGGGTGAAGATTCGGACCGGAGTCTGATCCTGGGCCGGGGTCGAGACCAGGAACCGGGTGGAAGTTTGGACCGGAGTCAGGTTGTGAGCTGGGATGGAGACTCTGATTGGGGTCGTGGTTCGGATGGGAGTTGGCATCCGAGATGGGGTGTTTGCCCGGGCTGGGGAGGGAGTGGGGGTCCGTGCCTGGTTACTCATGGTGACCAGGTGAGACCCGGGTACCCCAGGCTGAGCGTCCAACCTTGTCCAGCTCCTTGAACAAGGACAGCATTCGTACCCCAGGGTTCTAAAACGGAAGCGACCCCAAGCAGGCACCGTTACACACTGGGTTCCAGACGCTTCCCAGAGCTTCCCACCGCCCTTTGCGCTCGGGATTCCTCCTGCCCTGCTTCCAGCCAATGGTAGGAGGCCACATCCAGTATTAAAGAGTAGCAGCCTACCGCCCTCAGAGCAGGAAGAGAAGACACAAGGACCCATTGGCACCCAGGGCCTGCAGGTTCAGAGGGGACCTCTGAGAATAGGGTACAGCTACAAGATCCGGAAAAAATAGCCCACACAAACGAGGCAATTTACATACAGCCAGGAGCTGCTACGATTCAGACCAGATTGTGGGGGCCCGGGGCCCGTGGTTTCACCACTTTGAGAAGGGTCCCTGAAAGCTGTCTTCATGCTGTAGCCCCAGTATCTAGAACAAGACCTGGATCAATAAATGCTTGTGGGACCTGAGGTGGTGAGATAGAAAAGGGAATCTTGCTGTGGCTGGTTTTGTTTTACACTACTCCTTGGGGACCCACCACCTAGCTCCCAAATGAATTATCCTGTTTCTCTTTAACTGTTTTGCTTTTGGGCTTTTTTTACCTTTTGTTTTGTTTTGTTTTTTCGAAGAAAGGTTTCTCTGTATTGTTTTTGGAGCCTGTCCTGGCACTTGCCTGGTAGACCAGGCTGGCCTCGAACTCACAGAGATCCACCTGCCTCCCGAGTGCTGGGATTAAAGGCGTGCGCCACCAACGCCCGGCCCGGCTACCTTTTTTATATATATCTTTCTTTCCTTCTTTCTTACCCGTGGCTGTCTGTGTGGCTGACTAGCTGGCCCCTGGCGTTCTCCCCTCCTTCTTCTTGTCTCCTGCCTCCCTCTTCTGTAGATTTCTCCTCCTAGTTATTTTCTCTGCCTGCCAGCTCCGCCTATCTCTCTCTCCTGCCTAGCTACTGGTCATTCTGTTCTTTATTAGACCAATCAGGTGTTTTAGGCAAGCAAAGTAACACAGCTTCACAGAGTTAAACAAATGCAACATAAAAGAATGCAGCACAACCGGGCATTGGTAGAGCACACCTTTAATCCCAGCACTGGGGAGGCAGAGGCAGGCGGATCTCTGTGAGTTCGAGGCCAGCCTGGTCTACAGAGCGAGTTCCAGGACAGCCTCCAAAGCCACAGAGAAACCCTGCCTTGAAAAAAAACAAAGCAAAACAACAAAGAATGCAGCACATCTTTGCATGATTAAACAAATGTTCCACAGCATAAAGGAATGTAGCACATCTTAAACAGCTTGCACTAAGTAAGGGGGCAGGTTTGGGAGCTGACGTGTAGGCAAAAACCAGAGGTGACAAGGATTGGAGCCAGGGACCGTGACCATGGAAGGCAGACAGACTTCACTGAGGCCATGGGACTCAGGATGATTTAATAGGGGTTTGGTCGGTTGGCAGTTTTCACAACATGCACCATGCACAGCACTCTGAGGTCAAGCCCTAGTTCATGTGGAGGCGACACAGGACTGCAGTCCGGCGCTCAGGAGACAGAGGCAGGTGGATCAAAAGTTCAAGGTGACCTCCCGGTGTTGGTGACAGTTCCGGGTCACTCTCAGGTACATATAAAAAACTCAGGATGCATACGACCCTGTTGATTTCCCTGAGATGTCAGTCTCTGCCCTTGGCTTTCGGGCAATATCTCTATACCAGGAAGTATAATTCCTGATGAGTGATGGTGAGGGGGCCATGTAACAGATGGTCCATGGTGATAATATGGATGATAGCTCTCAGTCTTAGAAGGGTTATGGATGATAGCTCTCAGTCTTAGAAGGGTGATTAACTCTGCCTGCCTGACCAAGATCCCGTGGAAACTATGGGCTTCCGGATGCAGGAGTGCTTCCTGGTATGGCGAATTCTGTCTCCACTGTCACACCATGGTGCTGGGAGAAGTCATGGCGGTCTGCGCCTCCACCAGTGACGACACCCAGATGTTTGTGCTAGAAACTTAGCTGGACCCTGGCCCGTGCCCTTCCTCTAGCTGGCTGAGTTTTAAATTTATTTTTGTTTTGGTTTGCTTTCTGATGTCTTTGAGAAATAGCCTTGCTGTGTAGCCTAGGCTGGCCTTGAACTTATGATCCTCCTGCCTCTGCCTTCTTCTTTTTCCTGAGACAGGAAACTGGGTCTCACTATGCAGCCTTGGCTGGCCTAGAAATTGCTATGGCCAGGCTGCCCTTGAAAACACAGAGATCTGCCTGCCTCTGCCACTCAAGCGTTGGAATTAAAGCCGGTGACACCACACCACACTTCCTTGGTTGATTTTAATCTCTTTCCCCTGTGCTACTATAACCTAACTTTTGACGAACCTTCCTACCAAAGGATCGAGCCTGGCCCAGAGGGCAGTGTGTGCCTGTAATTCCAAGTATGACACAGCAGAAGCCAGAAAATTGTGGCAAATCTGATGCTAGTTTGGTTTACAATTAGTGATTCTCAATCCTTCTAATACTATGACCCTTTAATACAGTTCCTCATGTTGTGGTGACCCCCACACACATAAAATTATTTCGTTTCTATTTGGTAATTGTAATTTTGAAGCTGTTATGAGTCATAACGTAAATATCTGATATGCAGGATATCTGATGTGTGATCTATCAAAGGGTCATTTGACCCCTACGAGGGTCTGAACCCACATGCTGCTAACAGCTGGTTTACATAGTAAGTTCCAAGCCATAGCATCCTGTCTCAATTTTTTTTTCTTTGTTTTTTGAGACAGGGTTTCTCTGTATTGTTTTGGAGGCTGTCCTGGAACTCACTCTGTAGAGCAGGCTGGCCTCGAACTCACAGAGATCCGCCTGGCTCTGCCTCCCGAGTGCTGGGGTTAAAGGCGTGCGCCACCAACGCCCGGCCCTGTCTCAATTTTTTAAAAATGCCCAGCATGGTGTCCCATATCTTGGGAGGAAGAGGCAGGTGAATCTCTTGAGTTCGAGGCCAGCCTGGTCTACAGAGTGAGTTCCAGGCCAGCCAGTGGCTACACAGAGAAACCCTGTCTAGAGAAAACGAAAACAAGAAACAAAACAACAAAAACAGTCTATTATTCTCCCTATGAGATGGTATCTCTTTTCCTTAGTTCCAACAACAGAAACAAAGTTCTCAGCCCGAAGTAATTGACCAAAATAAGAACCTTTATAGATGTCTCTTAGAATGAGAAAAGTTAGGTTATAAATAAACATTATGTACAACTTCCAACAGCACACTCCCCAGCCTCCAGTCAGTGTGGGTTGCAGAGACCGGGTACCACAAAGCAAACGAAAACATTTGGGCTCCATCCCCAAGCCCTCACAGAGAAGGGGGCAGGGTTATGCCTGAAAAAAAACGAAGAGAGAAAGAAGCATTAGAGGAGGCATGAGGCAGGGGGCTGCCTCCGAGCCGGGTGCCCTAGGCCCAGAGCAAGAGAACCTGGGACTCCATTACCTCTCGAGCATAATTGGAAGGGGCCGGTATGACATAAATGGATCGAGAGTCTCCGTCTTCGGGGTGATTCCAGTCAGCCGAGCTGTGGGAGGAGAGAGAGCAGGGACGATTCAGACCCCATGAATTCTCCGTTTGTTTGGTTTGTTTTTCCGCACCCATCAAAGAGGGGAACCCTGCGATGACACCCCATCAGAAGCCCGCTGGGACGCCGGGCTAAGAGGGTCCAATCAAGTAAGACGCATCAAGGAGTTAGGCCAATCAATCGGCCAGAGTGACAAGGTGCGCCGCCCTCACCTGGGGCCATCCCCGGCACCGTCTTGTATCTTCAGGTTGTTGAGTGCATCCGGGAGCGTGTGGACCGACGGCTCCCGGGCTCCAGACAGCAGGCGAGTGCCCGCATCCCGGGCCAAACCTCGGCGGCGCACGTGGACGAGCAAGAGTGCGGCGCCGGCCAAGCCCGCGGCCACCAGCAGCCCCAAAGCGGGAGGCAGAAGGAAGCGCTGTGGGTCCTCCCGCCTCGGGCCCCGGGGGGCCGCGGGCGCCGCGTCCGCGCCGTCGGGGCGCACGGCGAACTCGCATCGCACGCCCATGTAGCCGGGCGCGCAGGCGCAGACGAGGCCGGAGAAGTGGGCGTAGCAACGGCCTCCGTGCGCGCAGGGGCGAGAGGCGCAGGGGTCGGCGCGCTCCCGACAGTCGCGCCCGCCGAAGCCCAGCGCGCACGAGCAGCGCCGCGCGCCGCCGCCCTCCACGCACGTGCCGCCGTTGGCGCAGGCGCGGCCGGCGCAGTCGTCCAGGTGGCGCTCGCAGCGCGGCCCCGCGAAGCCCGCGCGACAGCGGCAGCGCAGGGCGTGACCCAGGTCCAGGCAGAGGCCGCCTGCGGGGGCGGGGGGAGCGGTGTCAGCGCCCGCTGCACCCCGCCTCCCGCCTGCGGCTCCTCCGCCTTCCTCGCCTGCACTCTCCTCCCGAATCTGGGGCTGCAAGCGAGGATGCCCGAGGCGACGTCTACCTGGGCCTCTCTTCCTCCTCCCTTTCCTCCCCTCCAGGTCTCTCTCTCTGTCCAAACGCCCTTTTCTCCGGGAAGTGCTCTCACTTTTCCTGTTTCCAGCCCAGAGCCTCTGTCCCTCATCACAGCCCCGATGCCTCTGAGTTCTGAGTGAGCCAGAGAGGAGTCCCTGGGAGAAGACTGGAACTTGCAGAGTCTAGGACTGTCCCTCCGGTCACCCATTCCAGGAAACAATGGTTTTGTTTGTTTCATGTTTGAAACGGGAGCTCAGTATGAGCTCGGACTAGTTTCGAACTTGTGATCGATCCCCTGGTCTCAGCCTCTGGAGTGCTAGAATTAACTATGCAGCCATCCATGCTCAACTACAAACCAAGTATCTACCAGACTCTTTACATCCATGGTCTCATTTAACCCTTTGTTCAGTCTGAGGGTTTCTGAGATGGCCATGCAGCCCAGGTTGGCCTGAAACTCATTATATAGCCCA